ACAGACAGCAAGATATTCGATGAATAGGTAGAGAACACAGGCGGATACGGTGCTTTTCAAACAGCACAAAGCGTCGTCGAGGTCGTTGTCGGTGTAGTTGGTGCCAACTACTTAGATAATTCGCCTTATTAAATTCTGTGTTCGAAGAGAGAGAGAGAGAGAGAGAGAGAGAGAGAGAGAGACGTTGCCCCGTCACGTAATTGAAACTAAAGCGTTTTCGACTCTTGACGCGGAACGAAGTACGCGACGCCGGGACTAATTAGCCCGTCAAAGGGTCTTGGATACATAATTCTTGGCACAAGCGACGAAAACGCGGAGCCCAGCGTCCGTTCACGCGTCACCGCCTTTACCGATCTCTTTGCGCTGCCTTTTTCGACGAAAATTGTGTCTGCGAGCCATTTCAAGGAAGAATGGAAGTGGATGTTTTGATAATTGAGTTCGAGGGGCGAGTTTTGGATTAGTGCGAGATGAGTGAAATGTGAGACTTCGAGGGTTCGTGCGTTGTATCACTCACGTTCACTTTTACTTCCACGTCTGTTTAATAGCAATTCAGGAACGTTGTGATTACTATAAAGTCACTACGAAGTTGTATGATTCTGGAATTTTGAGACACTGTTCTAGTTGATAAATCTCTACGAGATGTAGTTGTATAAATGTCTTGCAGTTTTCTTGGATTATTGGTCTTCTTGAAATCATATAATGTTCGAAGGAATCATCAGAGTTCAGAAAAGTAATGATATCGAAATGAAAATAATCACTCACTTGAAGAGAATCTAATTGAGTAGCGTGAAGCAGAACGCTGTCAGGAACTGCGGTGACCTGTTGGAACACCTCATCTTGAAGACTCGGGCTAAAATAACCACCGTCCTCAGAGTAACCCGTCATTGAGAAACTGTCTGTAACTGCAGGCTGAGCTTGAGGTTGATTATTTTGTTGCTGTTGTTGTTGTTGTTGCTGCTGCTGCTGTGCTTGTTGTTGTTGTTGCTGCTGCTGCTGTTGTTGCTGCTGTTGATTGGTCGTCGATTGAACCGACGTCTGATACGTCAGATGCAATCGTTGCCCGGGATCGGAAGTCGTTCTCTTCACAGCCATTTTGGTGGTACCCTGGAAGATTAATGATTCAACTTCTCATTACGAAGTCAAACTTCTAAATTATAAGTTTTTATATTGGAGGATATAAAAATATGTGTGGGAGAAATTTAGTGTAAAAGATCGAGAAATGTTTTATGAACTTATTAACACACTTGCGACAAAGGAGGGAAAATTGACAGCAGAGATTGAGACACGTGACTCTCTGAAATTCTTTGTTCATCTTTCTTCCTTTTGTGAAATATAAATAAATCATGTCGTTATTTTTAGTAATCCGAAATATATTGGATTTCGATCACCCCCGTCCCCCCCCCAAATATTATCCATCCGAAAAATGTTTGAAAAATAAAATAAAAACGTAGAGAGAATAAAAATGCACCTTCAGGATCATGTCGGCAAGCGCCTGCGCCTGAGCCTGTGTCTGTGCTTCTTGCAGCTGCTTCTGCACGGTCGCGTGCCCGGAAACGGTGACATTCGGCTGCCGGAAGTGTTCGCCATCCGAAAGTCTGCGGACTTTCTCCGCGGAGGCAAGTGGAGGCGGTGCTGGCACCGCGAAGCTCGTTTTACCGGAAATCTGCGACGCGCTGTCAGCTTGGGTAAAAATCGTCGCGTTCGTGCGAGCCTGATTCGTGCTCGTATCTGCTGCTGAAATAACAAAGAATAATTCTCTCGTAGTTTGTATTTCTATTTGGATACGTTCGACGCAATAATAATTTTTGTTGAAAAAAATTTTCTCGTTATGCAAAGTCAATATTTTAACTGTTTGTCTTGTCGGTATTTCAATTACTGTCCTGTTGGTATATAATTTGCGATACTGCATTATATTTTGGTCATTTTCAAACACCGATGTTTACTTTGTCTGTATTTTTTTTTTTTTATATCAAGTTAGCGTGGAATAAAAATGTAACGTTATCTTCTCCTCGTACTTTCAACGGTTAAATTGAAATCCCGCGTGATTCATTATTTAAAGTGTAAATTAATATGAATGGTTATTAATCGAACTAATAAAACGTGAATTGTATCGGATTTCCTAACATTTATTCGTTTTATATAAATATACAATTTTTACGCTGCAATCAAATTTCTCCAGCAATTCCTCTTTTTTTTTTTTTTATTTTATGTTACAAGCGAATTAATTTTAATATCGTTGAAACGTAAATTCGGACTATTAGTTTTGCAAATTTTTAAATGCAACACAGTGTGTATCAAGTATTTAAATGACTTTATATTTTAAATTAATATACGTGGGGCTAAAAGAAAGAAGACCAAATTTTTTGGGATTAAAATCGTCTATCGAAGTACAATTTCGATTACATTAATAAATAGCTACCCATCACTAAGAGACATTTTAATAAATTTCAATTCAGATAAACTTGCTATTTATCATCGTAGTATTTGATCTCTCGAAGAGAGGTGGGTCCGTTTGCTTGTGACGCGCGCAAATTTTCGTCGATAAAACGTGAAATCAAGTACACGTACACTTGTCAAAATGAAACCGTATCTTTCAGACTGGACGAACGAACGTTATTTTATTACTTGATTACGTGCTGTTTTAAAATACAGATTTCAAAACACTTGATTAAAACTTGATGATCTGTTTCCAATTAAATATATTTTTGACGAGTTTGAAATTACTAATAGGAGCTTCTGCTTCTAGCGGAGATAAATTTAATTATGAAATGATCGTTTTCAAACGATCCAAGGATATGAGATTTTTTTAAATTTTTATCTTTTATCTTTTACTCAGCTATACGACGTATACTCAGAAAAATTATGCTAAACGCATTTTCTGTACGATCAATTATGAGCTGAAATAACGGGAAGAAACTTGGGTGAATTTACCTGGTAGCTGCGCAAGATTAAAAATTCATTCAAGAATATTTCTCTTTCTTAAAACGAATGTTTAAATCTGATTTCATTACGTAAAGTAGTTGATAGCAATAATGAAAATAATTGAAATCGATCGTTTGCAGATTACGAGAATCTTTAGAAATTCGCAGTCGAATTCCTATAAGTGGTAAATTCAATATCGTAATATTAAATTTATTCATAAAATAAAAAAGTCAGTAGAGTGTGTCAGTATATGGCCAGACCTGTATAGAACACACGCAGGTGGAAATTTATTAAAATCAATTTAAATTTTTCAAACTAAATACATATAGAAAATTGCTCGCAAGTAGAATATATCGATGCATGGCCAGACGTGAGGCAACGAACAGTAACGTAGTTCTAAAACATTTCTAACGTTTATTAAAACTTTGAAACTTCGGAACCGTACCGCACACGGAAAATAATTTGTAAGTAAAACATACCGATGCACGATCAGACAGAATAGAACGAACGTTGCGAGAACGAACAGACATAGAAGAATTTTGCATAAATAACGGCTTAATAGCAGATAACGTCGCTGATCCCCTTCTTGCGCACGGTTTCGTCCTTTGTCGAGACCTTTTTAAACGACTAATTGAAGGAACGGGGAGAAAGAAAACGAGGGGAGAAGATCAGTGAATGCAGCGGAACGGCCCGTCTTTTCTGGCTCGTCTCTCGGAGCCGTACACATTCTCCCTTATAATGACGTTAATATGAATTAATCGTACTGCCAGTTAAACGGACGTACTTTGCCGAAGCGTTTCAGTTTATGGGGAATAAATTATGAGAACTGCGATCTTCTTAAACGAGCGCTGATTCCGTCCATTTGTGCGTTTCTTAATTCGCCCTTTCACGATCGTACGAGCTTGCAGGAGGGAACAATCTTTCGACGAAGCACGGGGAAAACTGTGTTTTATCGCCGTGTCTCTGGCAAAGGGAAGAACGTTCGTAGTTACTTGAAACTCGAAAGCGAATAAAAAGAAGGACGATATGTGTTTTCTTTTTCTTTTACGGTTGTTACATAATTCTAGAGATTTATCATATATACTCTCATATATTAGATAATATTCTATATATATTAAAGAAAGAAAATAATATTAATACACGTTTGTTTCACATTAGTGAAAAACTAAACGACATGAATTAAAATATATTTTCCGAGTTACAAGCATCTTTTTTATTTCAACGCTTTAAATTTAAAGCTCGACAGCTTTTCATCGTCAGCGAGCAGAGAAAGAATTTTTTCTCTGAGCATAGACGAATTAACCAGAAGGGATTCTTCTAATTAAGAAAATGAATTCTTCATTCGTTCAACATTTAGATTAATGATGAAACAAACATGTCGCATCGATATCATTCTTTTTTAATGCGAAGTATTGTTTAATATTTATTGGCAGGTTCGATGTAAATGATTAAACTCGTGGAATTATTCGGCAAGCAGAAATACGCGAACCGGTAGATGCATGTAGTATTATTTAACAATGAATTGAACGAATAATAGCGAATATTAATAAGGTAAATCGTTAGTAAAAACAAAGGAAATATGTAAGCAGGAATGTTACCATATTTTTATAAAGAAATACCTTGCTTTAAAGTATGAATTTTTCCGCGTGGATAAATTGCAACTGTAAAACGTGGTACTTAATAATGAATTAATTGGACTAAAAATTGTATTCACAAATTACCGATCCTTTTGTTTCAAAAAATATAAAAGTACTCGAAATAAAATCCGTTTCTCTGTAGGAGATTCGTTCGGTAGAATAACCGAGTAAATGGTCAGAAAATTAAGAAATAAAAATCTCATTATGGGAAATAAACGATTTCATGAGAAAATTAACATTTAACATTTAGAGCGTTTTAACGTATTAACGTTTAAAAAAAGGAAACATTTGGAAAGTTACTTGTTTTTAAATTAAATAATATAATTTTTCTTTATCGTAATCAAGTGTTACAATAAAATTGAGTTTCATAATCAATTCTTTTTGGAAATATGAATTTAGTCACCAAAGCTAGAGAAATTAGATAAATATATAGATTAAGTTAACCGTGGTATGCTGATTGTAATCGCAGCCATCATCATCTGTCGTCAACACCAATAATAAACTATAGATTATCTACCGTACATATTCCACAATATGTACATTTCACAATCATACAGTTACATTCATATATTGTCATAATTTCAATTCAAGGTATTAAATCGCTCAAAAGTTTATAGTACATGTAATATTTCGTCAGATGATTTTTTGAAATTATTTTCTTGAAAATCTCGTTTCTAATAACGACAGTTTCAATGTGATTAATTAAAATAAGAAGCAATTGCTCTATTGTAACACCATAGATTTTTCCAACAATTTTCACGTACGTACTTACAGGCAGTAGAGTAACCACGAAATTTATTAGTAGAATAAATCAACGCATTATCAGACGATGAAAGCTACCGATAACCCGTATGCAATCTCACTCAATAACGAATTAACAAGCAGGAAACAATTTCTCCGTTATTTCATCAATTTCCACATACTTACAGGCAGTAAAATTTATAACAACACAAGATCTATCAGTAGAATATATCAACATATTTTCAGACGATACACACATGCGTTATTCCCGTGAATAACGAATTAACAGGAAACAATTTCTCCCTCGTAACACCGTTCAGACTTTCCCCATCAATTTCTCAGACAGCGATCAACATCGACAACCGATGCATCCACGAAGATACGACGCGAACGCTCGTTGAAAAATACGTTCCGTGACGGGGGGGAGCCGTCGTTTACGACGGCAACGAAATCCGACAGATATAAATGCGCGCGTATCCTAACCGAGGCGCGAGGAGGAAATGGCATCCATCGGGAGCGTGCCAGTTGCGTATCGCAAGAGAGCAAACTTTCTCGCGACGATTCCATGAATATCTGGCCGAAGCGTCGTGCCGTTCTGGCTTCGAGCCCGTGAATTTCACTAGCTCGCTCGGTTTTTTTTTTTTCAACGCTGCATCGTTGTCGCACACGCAAGAAATGGCGGCCGCGGTTGCTTTTTCCCCTCATTGTCGACTCGCAGCGGTCCACGCCGCTAATAAATCAATCGAGAAGAAATTAATATCCGTCTTTGACTATCGCTTCACTTCCGATCCCCCTCCCCTCACCGCCAATCCAACCCTCCCCGGAGGGTAAATTGAAATCGTTGTAAACGCTTTTGTTCGGACGACGGAGATGGAAATTGTAGCGACGCTGACGGCGGAACGATCGATCTCCATGCAATTTGTCGTATATGCGTAGTAGCGGCAACGTTCCGATGAAATTTTTTCTCTCTCCTTTTTCTTTTTCCTCCTCTGTTTTTCTTTTTTCTCTTCTTTTTTTTCCCCCCCTTTTGTATAAAATGGAAACGCTGAGCTATGGGACGACGATATTCGCGATTTTGGATTTTTGGTTTTGCTCTTGAGATTTGGAGATATTTCCAAATGTGGTATTCTATACGCTGGCTTTGAAAGATCCATTTTAAGATAAAAGATTTAATCTTTGGCATTCCACTGGTATAGTGGATATCGATAATGTGAGTATTTTCGTGCATTGTTTCTGCTGATAAAGAGTGGAAAGAGAACGATGGATACTGTATAAATGAATGCATAACTTTTTCTCTTGAAACAAAATTTACAATTTTTTTCTTTTACAATTGAATGTAAAAATGTGTATGAATCGTATCATAAAAGTTTTTTGAATACGGAGGGTTACAGTGAATACTACCTTTAGATCCATATTTCAACATTTTACTTTACATTTTTATTTTACGTAAAATTGCCTATTCAATACTCGAGACGATATGTAAATCAAATACCAAGTTATCTTCAAGAGATGACATACCAACCAAAATGTTATTTTCAAACATGTATTTAAAGAATAATCAATATCAAAGAAAGAAGTGAAACAATATTCCAATCGAAATCAAATAATAAAAAAAAAAAAAA